CCCACACCCACACCCACACCCACACCCACACCCACACCCACACACACACACATACACACACATGACACATTCGCACGAGGCTGCGTCAAGCTATGTTTGCCGTCTGGGCGGACGGCGGGGCCACAGCGGCGACCTGTTTTTATGCCTTGGTGCCTGCCCCGGCTTCGCATGGGACCTCGCACGCGCTCCCGCACGCCTGGTGGGGAGGCTCCGCCAGACCCGTGCGCTTGCCCACTTCGCGGGCCTTTGGGGGCTCTGGCGTCGGCGTCGTGCGCGTGGACTCCGCGGGGCTGCTCTGGCGCGCTATTTTTCTCCGCGGATCGGCGGCGACGATAAGGGCGAACAGCCCAGGGGCGGGCATTATACGCACTCGCCCGGGGGCCTTGTTGAAGACATGAATCATCGGCGCCCCTGGATACATGTATTGCTCTCCCCTGGGCTATTCGCCCCTTTCGTCGCCTCTGAGCGGAGCGGACCCAACCATGATACGATACGCCTCGGACTCCAACCGCCCTCAAGTACATGTGCTCCTGGTCGTCTACACCCTGCGAAATGCTTAAGAAATCATGGGTTAAGAAATTCATAGCCTCAGATCTTGAATAAAAACCCAACATTCCTACTAAAAACTTAGGATTTACACTGAAACGTTAAGAATAGTCGAGACTCTGGCCGAAAACTTAAGTTTTCTTAAGCATCGCCTAGGGTGCACAAAGGCTCGCCACGACGTGCAGCCCCAGGCTGCCGCGGCGGTGCACGATCTACGAGGGCTGCGTGCGTGGGTCTCCGATCGCTGCGCTGCAATCCATGCACCTAGTCATGGCGGACGCGCTGCTGGAGAGGCGAGGCAACCATGTATTGGACGCCCGAGTTATCCGGGGTAACTCGGGTCCGGGGTAACTCGGGTTTGAGTTCCCGAAAAACGAACCCGAGTTATCCCTGACCCGAGTTATCCCTGATGATTCGGGGCTCTGGACGCCCGAGTTATCCGGGGTAACTCGGGTCCGGGGTAACTCGGGTTTGGTTCCCGAAAAACGAACCCGAGTTATCCCTGACCCGAGTTACCCCTGATGATTCGGGGCTCTGGACGCCCGAGTTATCCGGGGTAACTCGGGTCCGGGGTAACTCGGGTTTGAGTTCCCGAAAAACGAACCCGAGTTATCCCTGACCCGAGTTATCCCTGATGATTCGGGGCTCTGGACGCCCGAGTTATCCGGGGTAACTCGGGTCCGGGGTAACTCGGGTTTGAGTTCCCGAAAAACGAACCCGAGTTATCCCTGACCCGAGTTATCCCCGATGATTCGGGGCTCTGAATGTAGCGTGCTGGGCCCTGCTGCAGCAGACTCCAAATCCACCCCCAAAAAACAACACTCTCCTCCTGACCCTTCGCCCCCACTTTGTTCATTCCCGCCCCCCGCCCTCCCAGCCGGCACCTCTCCAAGCACCGTCGGACCTCCAGCAAGCGGAAGGTGTTCGAGCCGAAGTGGTCCGAAGCGTCCTGCCTCGGAGAGAACAAATGATGATATCATGGCGCGATTGGTTCGGGATTTCCGGAACTTCTAGCGGCCATCGGACTTTCGTACTCCGCAGTTCGTCCACATCTGCGCGAGACCACAGGAAAGCCAGGGCGAGGCACCAACACAATGACCTCCTGCTCCTCCGAGAGTAGCGAGACAGGTACGTCCCACGGAGACGATTGATGAGGAGAGGAGGGCGCGCAAAGGGAGAGCAGGAGGCACTGTGGAGACGACCATACATGACGTGTATATATATATTTGTATATATTTATGTGTGTGATCACATATATATATAGGTATATATATAGTGTATGTTGGTATACTGTACGCACATATGGTATAACTCACATATACACATATATATATATATAATCTATATGACACATCCAGCACCGTGCCTGCAGCACGTAGTGGAGTGCCCCAAGGCCCATGTAGCCCTGAGAAATTCAGAGGTGCAAGGTTTTAAGGGCCCGGCCCAGGGACTCCCAAGGACTCCCCGGGCGTGTCGCGCGCGTCCTCTGGTAGCGCAGCTGGCCAAACATGTCCCAAACAGCGCTCAAGAGGGCCGAAGATGCCAGCCGAAAAGAGGATAACCCCCAAATCCACCAAAAACCCGCAGAAAATCACTGATGTTTGCCTCTTGGGGCCTTCTTTGGAGTGCTCTTGGATGCTTTTTGAGGCCTTTGGGGCCGTCATGGAGGCCTCTTGGGCCATCTTGAGGTCACGTCGGTCACTCTTGGAGCGCTCTTGTGCTGTCTTGGGGGTCTCTGGGACGTCTCCGATGACCCCCCTGATCGCCCTAGGTGTGCTGGGAAGGCGTGGCAAAACGCCCTGCGAGGCCAGGGGGGCCGCTTCGAGGCCCGTCCTGAGGGTCCCAAAGCCCCAGATTCTGGGAGTCCGGTTTTGGGGTGTGGGGGGGGTTCTCCCCACCCGGGCTTATCCAAATGTAGGAAGAGGAATATGTGTACCTGTGTATGTCTCTCTCTCTCTATATATATGTGTATATATATATACATATATTTGCATGTGTATGTGAACATGTTATGTGTATGTGTATGTGTATGTATATGTGTATGTGTATGTATATGTATGTGTATATGTATATGTAGATGTATATGTTTGTGTATATGTATATGTCTATGTATATGTATATGTATATGTCTATGTATATGAGAATATGTATATGTATATGTACATGTACATGTATATGCATGTGTATGTTTATATGCATAGGTATATGTAGATGTATACGTTTGAGCACGACCGCCCGCTGCATGACCAGAGCACGCTGGAAGTCTCAGATGCCACGATGCCGCCCTTCTCTTGGGAGGGAGCTACTTGCCGAAGGTAAGGCGGGGAAGGACGAGGAGCTTCTGTGGTCCCTGTGGCCAGGCGCTGGAGGTCGTGCGAGAGGGGGGGGGGGAGAGAAGCAGGGGAGGTGCGACCACGAGCGCGTTTCTTCACTTTCGGCGATAATGGGCATTATCAGGGGAGGGGAGGGGCCAAGGGGGGGGGTATAATGTAACGCCTCCCCCCCGCCGTGCGCACGGGGGGGGGAGGGGCGTTACGTTCTAGGGAAGGGGGGGGGAGGGGATGCCGGGGGCTATAAGGCCCATTATGCCCCAAGCAGTACAGAAGCACGCCCCACAAACCCCGCACGGCGGAGCCCTAGTTGGGCGCCCGAGTTATCCGGGGTAACTCGGGTCTGGGGTAACGCGGGTTTGGATTCCCGAAAAAGGAACCCGAGTTAGCCCTGACCCGAGTTACCCCTGATGATGTGGGGCTCTGGACGCCCGAGTTATCCGGGTAACTCGGGTCCGGGGTAACTCGGGTTCGGATTCCCGAAAAACGAACCCGAGTTAGCCCTGACCCGAGTTACCCCTGATGATTCGGGGCTCTGACCTAGCACCGGCGTGGCCAACACAAAGACCCACCACAGCCACACCATCCATCAAACGTCCGTCCCAAACGGGGGGGATCGGCCACGCGCAGAGGGGGGTGGGGGGAGGCGGGAGGGCTTCTTAGAAGCACCCCTGCTTCTTAGAAGGCGCGGGCCTTAGCTATAGATGCAAGGCCGGCGCCTTCTAAGAAGCAGCCTGCTTCTAAAAAGCCCTCCCCCCTCCCCCCACCCCCTTGTGCGCGCCGCCAAGGAGGTCTCTCCTCCTCCTCCCCTCCTCCTCCTCCTCCTCCTCCTCCTCCTCCGCCTCCTCCTCCTCCTCCTCCTCCTCCTCCTCCTCCTCCGTCCCAAACGGGTTCAGCTGCCAGGGCGGACGGGCCTCTCTCTCGTCCCTCGCGCACGCGCAGCAGGGGGCGCTCCCCTCGCAGGGCAGCCGGCACCTCTCTCTCTCACCGCAGGCTTGCTGTACAGGCCGGGCCTTGACCTAAGGAACGATACATAAGGAACGAGGCCCCTTTTTTATCCCAAGGAACCCTCCAAGGGACCCCCAGGAAGCCCCAAGAGGCCCCCACGAGGCTTCCAAGCGGTCCCTGAGAGCTTCCCAAGAGGCCCACAAACTACCCCCAAGAGGCCCCCAAGAGCGCTCGTCGCCGTCGTCGTCGTCGTCGCCATTCAGGGTCGGCGGCACCGGCCGTCAGGCCTTCGCAATAAGGAACGAGGCCCCTTTTCTATCCCAAGGAATGACGCATAAGGAACGAGAAAAAACAAACAACGCGCAAGGAGCTGTAAATAACGCATGCAAGCCTAAGGAACGACCGAGCCCCTTTTGAAAAGTAGGTGTTCCTTATTCAAGCCGCTCACTGTAAGCCCTTCGGGGCCCCTTCACTTCTGGGGGGGGGGTGCTTGCCCCCCCCGATCCGGCGTGAGTGTTCCCTGCCCCCCGCGGAGGAGCCCCGAAAAGACAGCCGCCGGGTGCCTTCCGTCCACGGTGGCGTAACTGCCACACCTCGTGCTACAACAGGTCATGAGGAACTTCGCCCACGTGTGGAAGGTGTGTCTGCGATGGGCGGGCGCCCCTGTCTGCTGCCAGCACACCTCTGCCTGGTGCCCCCCGCCAGCCCCGCGCTGGTCGGGGGGAGGGAGGGGGAGGGGGGGGATCGCGCAGGCCGCGCGGACGACTCTGGAAGCAAGAGCGGCAAGCTTCCACCCCCCACACTGCCAATTTCCCACCCGCCTTGCCGCAGTGGTGGACAGAGGCTTCAAGGGCCGTGCTGAGTCTCGGCGGGGCATGACCAGTCGAGGCACGCCCTCCGCTCCGTGCATCGGCATCCGCAGACGAGGCCAGAGCCCGTCGTGCACGAGCTCGGGCCAGCGTGCAAGAAGCATCCCAAGGGTCCGTCCTCTGCTCACTCAGGAGAACATTTACCGTGTTGGGAAGAAGGGGTCTGGGAGGATGAGGTGCATGAGCAATAGCATTCGGGTGCGGTATTGAAGATTGTGAGCCCCTCCAACTTCCCAGAGACTTTTGCTGAGACACGCTTCCCCCCCCATTATGTTTGGTATGCTCGGTAGCTGGAAATGGATTGCTCTTTGAATGATTCCATTATTCTTCGAGTTTCCATGCTTCTTCGAGAGCTTAGGTGAGGGGGGCGGGAGGGTCCGATAACCTGGGTGACCGCCAGATCCTAAACAAAAATAATATCCTCCTCCTCTTCCTCCTCCTCCTCCTCCTCTCCTCCTCCTCCTCCTCCTCCTCCTCCTCCTGCTGCTCTTCCTCCTCCCATGCCATCTTGCTGGCTCTTGCGAATATGCGCTAACCGGCGCTAGTCGACGCTAACCCAGGCGAATCGATGCTAGTGGACGCTGATGAATCGACGCTTTCCCATATATTACTACACGGCAGCGCACGCTGATACGCTTGACCGACGGGATTCTGCAGACCAACGCGAAGCTCCCATGCTTTGCTACCTTGCTACCGAAACATCGGTACTCCAGATTTCGTAATAAAAGGGAGGGGGTCTGGACCCTCCAAGACAAGCCATTTCAGACCTCCCCCGTGGGAGAACCCTCCAAAACCTCGTCCCCAGACCCCCCAGGCCCTCCAAGATAGCCTGGAAGAGACCCCCCCCCGAAATGAGACCCCCCTCCCTATATTACGAAATCTGGAGTATCTTTCCCTCCTCAGATCCTCCTCCTCCTCCGAGCGGCGAACGCGTCTGTCCGCGCGCCCGGGCACTTTGATCGGGAGCGGGCGCAACCCCCCTATGGCTCCAGAGCCCCCCGCGCATGGCGTCGACCCTCCTCACCCCTCCTCATCATCCCCATCCCCCCCTCCTCCTCTCGTTCCACGACCCCTCCTCCTCCTCCTCCTCCTCCTCCTCCTCCTCCTCCTCCTCGTCGTGCTCCTCCTCCTCTTTCGACAGCGGGCGGCGACGACCGGCTGCGCCGCGGAGGGGCCCCTCAGGCAGCTGTACGCGACGCGGTCCGGCCGCAGCCGCGCCCGCTGCATGCGCGCCAGCCACGCGGCGGCCTCCGAGGGCCTCCGGAGCCGGGCCCACGCGCTGACCACGCTGCTGAAGGAGACCAGGCCCGGGGTGAGGCCGTCCCTGCGCATCCTGAGTCGACTACAGTCAATCCCTCGTCCTCCTCCTCCTCCTCCTCCTCCTCCTGCTCCTGCTCCTCCTCCTCCTCCTCCTCCTCCTGCCCCTGCTCCTGTTCCTCCTCCTCCTCCTGCTCCTCCTCCTCCTGCTCCTCCTCCTCCCCCTCCTCCTCCCCCTCCTCCTCCACCTCCTCATCCTGCTCGCGTCGTAAACTATAAAGGCCACTGTCTGCTGCAGCCTACAGTCAACCCGTATACAGGCCGCACGGGCCTTAGGGAGGCCATGTCGACACTCTGCGAACGGGGCGCGGCCAGCGAACGCGGCCAAGGCCCGAAAAGGGGAAGGATGCAAGGGTGGCCTTGGAAGGTCGCACATCTATACGATGCGGGCTGACTGTACACGCAGAAAAGACCCTAGGCAAGAGGGACCTTTGACGCGTGGCTTTAGAAGGGGCGCGGGAGCCCGGGGGGCCAAACCGGAGCGCGCAAGCCGCTGCTATCGCATCGCATTCCGCCATCTGGGGACCCCAGTGTGCCCGCACCAAAGGTCACTCTGGCGAAAGGTCACGCTTACGTATAACAGGGAGAGGTCCCTGCCCATCCTGCCCAGCCAGAGCACCGCCTCTGGAGGAACAAGACCGGTGCAAGTAAGAGCCTTCGGAGGTCCACGCGAATTGCCCCGACTTGCGCTGGAGCCCCCCTGGCGGCGCCTGCGGCGCCGCCCCGTGCGCGCTCCGCACACCAGGAAAAAGACTCCAGCGCCGATCCAAGACATCCGCGCGGACCTTCGAAAGCTTGTGCTGTTGACAGCTTCTTGTTCCTCGAGCCTCCTCCGCTGCCGAGGTCCTCGCGCACGCATCGAGGACGATGTTGTACGACACGCCGTCGGGCTCCAGGGCCGCCCCGCACATGGCGTTAGGTCGGGCATGTCCTCCTACAGGCGGATTTCTGAAGACAAATAAACATGTGCCACAAAATGCTAAAACATAGTCAAAAATCGTCGAACAATCGTCCCCATACTATTTTTTGACTATTCTTGAATTCCCCACTCACTGCTTGCACTGAAGGGGTCCTAGCGGAACTTGAAAGATTTGGCGGAAATGTCCCGCCGATGTTGGTAGCCGGCTGGGTTCCCGGGTTCCTGGTCATTGGTTCCGGGCCGATTTCGGTGGGCTCCGGTTTCCTGGGTTCCTGGTCGATCTCCTTGTCGATTTCAGACCATCCACCGATTGGGGCTTTATCTGATGTAGTATTCCTCCTGTCGAGGGACATGCCCGACCTAAACATGGCGTCGAACCAGCGCACGGCCCCGTCCGCCCGCGAGGCGCGCCCGAAGGCGCTCATCACCCCACTGCAGGCGACGGTGCTCCAGCGCACGCTGTCTCTGCTCGGCGGCGCGCCGAAGGGGGGCGACAGAGAGGGGGCAGAGGCCCCTTCGGATGCGCCATGTGTTTCTCCGCCAGCGCTGCTACAGATAGGACGGGGGAGAAGGGAAGGTGGGGAGGTGCAGGTCCGCCTCCTCCTCCTCCTCCTCCTCCCCCTCCTCCTCCTCCTCCTCCTCCTCCTGCAACTCCTTCTCATCCTCCTCCTCCTCCTCCTCCTCCTCCTCCTCCTCCTCCTCCTCCTCCTGCCCCTGCCCCTGCTCCTCCTCCTCCTCCTCCTCCTCCTCCCTACTCCTCCTCCTCCTCCGCAACTCCTCCTCTCCTCCTCTGCAACTCCTCCTCCTCCTCAACTCCTCCTCTCCTCTCCTCCTCCCTCCTCCTCCTCCTCCTCCTCCTCCTCCCTCTCCTACCTGCTGTGGCAGTGGTGGTGGACAAAAAGCGGCCCCTCACCTTCGGAGAAAACTCCTCGGAAGGCCTCGAGGCCCTCCGAGCCTCCCGGAGAGGCCCGCCCCGGCGCGCCGCCGACCTGCGCATGGCCTTCACCCACGCCGCGGCGTCGTCCGCCCTGGAGGCCCTGGCGCACGCGCTGACCAGGTTGCCGTAGGCGACGGCGTCGAAGCTGTGGCGGCCTTACAGGAACGCTGAAAGAAGGAACGCTAAAGAAAGGAGGAGGAGGAGGAGGAGGAGGAGGAGGAGGAGGAGGAGGAGGAGGAGGAGGGGGAGGGGGAGGAGGAGGGAGGAGGAGGAGGAGGAGGAGGAGGAGGAGGAGGAGGAGGAGGAGGAGGAGGAGGAGGAGGAGGACCTCCTCCTCCTCCTCGAAGCTGGGCCCGCTGACAGAAGGAACGCCAAAGAAGGAGCGAAGCCCCTTTTTGGGCCCTGTAAGCGCCTCCGTGCCCCGGGAGGGCAGGAGGAGCAGCGCTGGAGGGATAACCTAAGGAGCATCGAGCCCCTTCCGAACCCAAACTGTTCCTGTTTTCAGCGTCTTGACTGTACACCCTGCGAAATGCTTAAGAAATCATGGGTTAAGAAATTCATAGTCTCAGAACTTGAATAAAAAAACCCAACGTTTCTATTAACATCTTAGGAATTACATTGAAACGTTGAGAATAATCGAGACTCTGGCCGAAAACTTAAGTTTTCTTAAGCATCGCCTAAGGTGTAGCGGGGACACAAGGAGGCATACCAATACTATGTGTCCTCCTTGGAGGCGCGCGTCTGACCCGAACATCTAGTATACCCATCCTGTAGTGTATCGTTTCCCGAGCGGTGTGGCCAGAAAGCACCCGCCACGACGAATATACAATACCATTTCTCGGTGCGCGCGTCGCCCCTGGGGGGGCGACGCACGTATAGTATGAGTATGTTGGGGTGACGCCGATTAGCGGGGCCTGGCAACGACAGGGCACCTGTTTTTCACCGTTTTCGTTGTTCATTGGTCTGCCGCTTCCAATGTTTCTGCTGACGGCTCTGGCAACGTTGTTGTGCCGTACTCCTGGTGGGGCCCTGGTCCAGATCATTAGAGCCTGACCCTTCAGGAGCTGGTTCCGAACGTCCTTCGGATCCCCGGACTGCCCAAGCAGTTTCGGCGAACCTGTTTTTTACCGGTTCGATGAACAGTTTTCTTGCCGTGACCGAGAAGCCATTCCACCAAAAGAGTAAGCACAGCCCTTCCGTTTCCAAGGCGCACTCACTAAGCCGAGGACGCGAAGAAGACCGGGCGCTGGCAGGACTGCAAATAGTGCGACCTGGTCGACGGATGTGTACCAGGGGACGCCCCCCCGCCCCACTCCACTGGCCGGAACTGCCGCCACACGAAGAGGCATCAACTACGGCAAACTTGGTTTTGTGATTCTGGTCCTTTTGCTGGGTCTCGGGGCCCAGTCACAAACTGGCTCCCCTTACTCCAGATTTCGTAATAGAAGGGAGGGGGTCTGGACCCTCCAAGACAAGCCATTTCAGACCCCCCCCGTGGGAGAACCCTCCAAAACACCGTCCCCAGACCCCCCCAGGCCCTCCAAGATAGCCTGGAAGAGACCCCCCCGAAGTGAGACCCCCTCCCTTTTATTACGAAATCTGGAGTACCCAGGGTCCTGGCCTGGTTGTATCGGCGGGTGGTTGTGGCGGGCAGCCCACGTGGGGCGCGAGGAGAGGGCCCCAAAGGGGCCCTTTCTCAGGGCCCCTGCTGGCTCCGAGAGGGGCCCCGAAGGGCTCCCTGATGGCACTATGTTTCGCCCCCCATTTGGGTCACCTCCCATCACCACCCGCCCGACTACTCCAGATTTCGTAATAAAAGGGAGGGGGTCTGGACCCTCCAAGGCAAGCCATTTCAGACCTCCCCCGTGGGAGAACCCTCCAAAACATCGTCCCCAGACCCCCCCCAGGCCCTCCAAGATAGCCTGGAAGAGACCCCCCCCGAAATGAGACCCCCCTCCCTTTATTACGAAATCAGGAGTATGCAGCTTGTTTGTCAACGGTCCGAAAAGCAGCCGAGCCAAGGATAAGGATCAAGCTGCACAGCAGCTTGTCCACATCTCCGCACCCTCGGGGACACCTGAGTCGGAACCAGACCCGTCGGTGTAAGAAACGGGGCCTCAGACGCCATGGGCGT